ACTACTCGGTCGGTGCCTGATAGTGGCACAGATGTATCGCCTTACACCAGTTTTAATGGGTATTCATCAGTTGACATGTAACCCCCGTCCCTCCCTCATTTGGCCACCCTGATAGCGGCACTCTCTCACCCTCGCACACCCCCAACGTGGGATCACCTCTCTCACCGTACCCTACCATCAGCCATAAACACGACGGTGACTCTGCCAAGAGTGATGCAAATTTCGATGTTTCCCTACATTACCTCCCACCCACCGTTGGTGCAAGGTTTCCTCAACAACTGACGCAGTCACTTTACGACGTACGGCAGAATCGCCCGGAACGCTAAACTGGCAAAAACACGTAATGACGTTGCCGGTAATGATGCAAATGGCGACATCACCAGTGTGTGGTAAACACGACTCATACTATTGGCCCGCTATGCATCCTTTGTGGCTGTGTAGTTTCTAACGTATCGGTTTGTGTGGAACCCCTCTCTAAGACACCCCTGAAATGAGGACACACCTCTAAGACACCCCTGAAACGAGGACACACTTCTAAGACACCCCTGAAACGAGGACACACCTCTAAGACACCCCTGAAATGAGGACACACCTCTAAGACACCCCTGAAATGAGGACACACCTCTAAGACACCCCTGAAATGAGGACACCTCTCTAAGACACCCCTGAAATGAGGACACACCTCTAGGACACACCTCTAAGACACCCCTGACATGAGGACACACCTCTAAGACACCCCTGAAATGAGGACACACCTCTAAGACACCCCTGAAATGAGGACACACCTCTAAGACACCCCTGAAACGAGGACACACCTCTAAGACACCCCTGAAACGAGGACACACCTCTAAGACACCCCTGAAACGAGGACACACCTCTAAGACACCCCTGAAACGAGGACACACCTCTAAGACACCCCTGAAACGAGGACACACCTCTAAGACACCCCTGAAACGAGGACACACCTCTAAGACACCCCTGAAACGAGGACACACCTCTAAGACACCCCTGAAATGAGGACACACCTCTAAGACACCCCTGAAACGAGGACACACCTCTAAGACACCCCTGAAACGAGGACACACCTCTAAGACACCCCTGAAACGAGGACACCTCTCTAAGACACCCCTGAAACGAGGACACACCTCTAAGACACCCCTGAAATGAGGACACACCTCTAAGACACCCCTGAAATGAGGACACACCTCTAAGACACCCCTGAAATGAGGACACACCTCTAAGACACCCCTGAAATGAGGACACACCTCTAAGACACCCCTGAAACGAGGACACACCTCTATATACTACTCCCTCCCCCTGGCAAGCCTTACCTCACTAATATGAACTTTGTCCAATATATTGGTGTCTGGATTGGAATGTTTCGACTATAGTTCCTGAGACCAGGAGGAGTTTAGAGAAAGTTAGGGCACATGCATTCTTAGCTCAGACCCACTGCTAAGACCCTAACCATTGCCAGGGAGTGATGTACATCGTCTATAGTCCAGTATATCAATGAGAAATGTAAGGCACTTATTAATAGCTTGTCTAGAAGCCTCACCATCGGGGGTAAACACACGCAGCTCTTGCCAGGTGTAATTCAGACTACAAACGAACCGTACATGATCCGCAGTTTTCATGTTCCGAAACAACTCAACATACGTACGTTTTAACCAGGTGCATTGCAAAACCTCTGCATCCCATAACATTCGTTCTGGGAAATGATGGCGGAATAATTTTTACCGCACGAAAAAGCAATTTTTAAGTGGCGTGTCTGGGTGGATATTTATGAACAGAAGTTTAATCAGAAATGTGACCACAAGGCTATATTATATACAATGACATTAGAGACAATGGTTTTGAGGTATGTAGTATTGTGGTGAAGAAGTAGATTGTTATAATGTCCGTTCATGTTCGTGACATAATGTTATGCGTGGTAGAGACGGGTATTGCGTAACTCGTGGCGGAGGAAGCGAGACCAGTCACAGTGTTGCATGACTCAGTATCCCCAATGAAAAATGTCCCTCGCTGCTTACCACACACATTACATACTGCGTATTACAGGGGAAGATGGTACATATAATATAATATATATCCACATATCCCAAAGCCTTATTGTGATTGAAGCTGGTCTGAACGGTAGTCCCGTGTTTATCTTCGGTGCATTAGGTAAACCCCTACAATCATCCTGTATAGCGGTGTGGTGTGCATGACTGTCCATTCAACCGCACGCAGGAAACTCCTCGGCTGGAATGCCACCAGCACTCTGTGTTTGCGTTTCAAGTTTCCCTCCGGAATTAAAAACAAATGTCGTTTGGTCACAGGGCAGTAGTTGGGAAATCCTATGGCGCGACCTTTACTGACCATAGGTGCTTCTGTGTTCACATGATGATTGTGCTACTCGTGGAGTCCACTTGCTTCTGCTGAGGTGTACGTGTATCGGCCTCAGTCTGGCATTTGTTTCTCATTTACCTACGTATATAAACATGCATCTACGTAGGTTCTCCCTCCATTTTATTTCCCGGGGAGCACAGAGGAAGGACAACCCGTGACCACTTCCTGCCGTCTGTACCACTACCTCGTGTTTGTGTTTGTCTTCATTAATGGTATCGCTCCATTTCTGTTGACCTGGCGTCACTGTTCTCCGGCACTGACAAACTAATCCTTGGGAAAACTTCCTGCACCGCTATCTGCCGGTGGCAGTACTGTTAGGACGTGGCGCAACTGCATTGCATATGACAAAATCCTTCCATGTTTGGGTATGAGACGGTTCGAGTGTTGTCCATTGCACGTGTGGATATCGTACCCATACATTAGAGCTGCACGAGACTTACCTCCTTGTTTGTTTACCGCCCGTGGTGGCATTTGTACACAAATTATAAGTTCTCGGGTTAAACACCTTCTCCCTTTCCGTTTTGCCAGCCTCAAGCTCACTAATCCCTTGGCTCACAGTGAATCAATACCTGCCATCCCATCACTGCTCAAACCGCGCATTCTGTATGCAGTTTGTTTCTCTTCCCCCTATATCTAAGGTGTCCACTTCCATTTCTAATGTGCCTGCATCACTGACTAGGGACCACCTGTGAAACACCCCCTACCAATATCTAATAGCCACTGCGGCTCTCTTTGAATGACCAGTGTACAATTTCCCCCCACATATCTCTCCATCCATCCATCCATCCCTTGCTTCCTCTCCAGATGGGTGCATCGCTTCCCACACTGCGTTCTCAGTGCTCGCTCGAGCGATGAAAAAATCTTGCAGCCTAATGATATTAGAGGCTCATCGCTATGTACGTAATTAGGCTTTTCTCGCAGTGTCTGCGTTCTTTCATTCCTGTGGTGGTGGAATGAAACGAAGCAGTGTGCGACAATGTCCCCTCGCCCTCTTGTTTGCCGATCTCTCCGCGGTCTGTGTGTGTAATCACATCACTCGATGTGAACTGAATCAAAGAGACATCGGGCGATGGGTCTGTATGCACCTGTAGCAGCATTCACTGAGGCACATTCCGTCACCTTCGCCGAGAGAATAGACTGTTTACAAGCTGGGCTAGTCCCAACGCCACCAGATTGGCCCAATCAAACAACCTGACACATTCCTCGGATTCCCGAACTCATTCTTTCCAGGAGACCTGAGGACAAGCCAGTCCTGGTTTTGCTGGTGCCTGAAAATGTCTGTTGATCCGACTGGTCCTCTCGTCTCCCATTGTCTGACTGGGATTTGCAACGTTCCGGAACTTTCCATGTCCTGTTGCAGAACAGTGTATATAGTTAGGTCTGGGAGCTTGTGTGTGGAGCAGCAACGTTGTACTTGGACAAGTTAACAATCAAATGGACATTGATTTCGATTACTGCCAATTTACCTCATCTGAAATACCCACATACAACACCAATGATTATTGATTAAATCTGCTGCTCTTGATGTAGACAATGTTTTCCACAGACTGACGAATGAGAAAAGAGAGAGGGAGGGAAGGAAGAATGAGAGGGGAGTGAAGAAGAGGGAGCGAGGGAGGGTGAAATAATGCCAATGAATACATGAAGACATACCGGCCATTGTCAACAACAAGTCCAGGCCTGTGTGTCTAGTTGTGGTAAACAGTTGCCCAAGTTGTGGTGGGAGCAGCAGGAATGCAGCCGGAGAATAATTCCCAATTCCTTGTGGGACGGGAAAAATCTCTGCCACTCGAGTATCAGGTCACACCAGAACAACATTCCAGGGATCTCTTGCGTCCTTTCTGGTGTGCGGCAGGACGAGAAAGAGGCTTGTCATCTGTCGCGTGTTTTAGTATTCAGTAGTTAGCCTGGGGTGTGTGTGTGTGTGTGTGATGCCGCTAGTCAATGTCCGTGTCCGTTCTGAGTTGAGTTCACTCTCTCTCTCTCTCTCTCTCTCTCTCTGGTTCTGAATGCACTTACAGTAAAGTAATAGTACATGCAATGTCGGTGGTGATGCGAATGGCGGTACTAGACGCATGCAGATTATGAAGTGATGATATAATATGAGTGATAGGCTCTAACCCTTATTAATAGTTAAAGTTGTGATGGACAGGAAACTATGTTATTTTTGTTACCGTGTTCTAGTACACGTCTTATTGTCTAAAGTCTGCACAAATTTGAAGCTCAAGGTCTGTTCCATACTACTGTTGCTATGGCCCTGGGCATGTGGGACTTGAACCCACAACACTGCGTGTTCTCCTGGGGAGAACGCTGACAATCTTCATTCTGCGCTACATACTAACGGGGCATGTTACCCGTGTCAAACTAGAAAAATTTGGTGATAATGTTGTAGCTGTACACGTGTTAGTTTGTGAAAGGAACACTGTTCCCACTCCGTCACTTTGCAGTATACATACTGCCAAAAGGTTGGGGTCACAAGGTGTGAAACTCACCCTTTCAATTTGATTCATTCACATGAAATGTTGAACACATTGGCCACTGTTTCTAATGCCGCCACAATCTCAGAAGAGATTTGTAACCTATTAGTGTCGTTATGTCTACCAATTCAGAACCTTCTCGATTTCTCGTTCTCCAGTTCCACACTGTTGGAAACTACTTCCCGTCCTGTGGGTGTGTCCTCGCATCCACATCCACCCAAACCACACTCCATCCCTCCCCTCCTCCCCCTCCTCCCTCCTCCCCCCTCCATCTTCCCTGGTGAACCAGAAGAGGACATTCTCTATCAGTGGAGATTACGGCGGAGACTGGAGCAGGCACACAGATCGACCTCTGTCCTCTCGTCTCGTCTAAACAGTTATCAGAGCCGTCCATTCTTCAAATCCCGCTGCAGCAGAGCTCAGGGTTATGGCAATGACCTAGCCCAGTGCCATCTATTAGCTCCTACAGCTGCTCCTGATACTAATGGTGGAGGAGGAGGAGGTGAAGGAGAGATGGGTGGGGAGGGAGAGGCTCGCCTTAAATTACAGGCACAGACTGCTTCAGCAGATGGTACAGCTCGGCATTCTACAGGTATATACATACATACAGACATACGTTAACAGAATTGGAATTTTACCCACTGGCTCTATTAGGCAATGTGTGTCTCTAATTATTTATAGGGACTTCACCTGTACTACCACCACCAGCCAACACTTCCAACACGTCAGCCGCATACCCGTCCACGCACTGTATTCCTGTTGCACCTCTATGTTCTGCATACCTTCACTGCCCTCATCGCACTCCGTGCCCCTTCACCCTGCCTCCACACAGACACAGTGTGTGTGATACAGTACCCTGTACCGGACACCAGCAGCCTTTAGCTGGGGCGAGCGAGAGGTTGAGAAGCAAGGGAAGGGAGTGGAACAAGAGAGGAGGAAGAGAAAGAGGCAACGAAAGGAGAGAAGAAGAGAGAGAAGGACAAGCTGAAGAAATCACACCAGAGCAAAGGATAGAGTTTCCTCTCACGAGAACAGAAAATATTGTACCACCTGCCCAGCCATCCGTTCGCTACCCCTCCTCGTCAATCCTCAATCACGTGAGACACCCCCTGCAATCATGTGACAATCAGCCAGACAACCAACCACCTGAGGAGGAAACTGAACTCGATTCCACCGGAAGTGAAACATTTCTCTCAACTACTGCACCGTCCACCCCTGACCGCAGCACAGCTTGGGAATGTGGGAAGATTAGTCACTCGGGTAGGGGGCCACCTCCGTTTACAATTCGCGTAACCCGAGCCGTGAAATTCTGCCAAGATTCTCCCACTGTAGTGGTCTTAAGTAATACTCTCTTTTGGCAGATGCCGTTCACAATTGCGTCTTTCAGCAGTTCCAAGGGTTTGCTGTACACACAAAACGTAATACACTTATTGTATAGTGCTTTATAACGGAGTAGTTAGTATGAGTGTGTGGAGCAGTTAACAGGCCTAACATTGCCAGCCACTCAAGTGTAGCTGTGATTGTGGCTAGCAATGGGCGAGTACATAAGTCGTTGTATAGGTGGAACAGACAGTGATTTATGGCTCCTAAGGGAGCTTTGCATGTCCTGTGTTCATTTCGCCGCGGCCCGAGAGAGGGCCGGTGTATGGCGGAGGATGTCGCCAATTAGCTCATCGCTTCTCTCACATAATGAAGTTGACAGCTAACACGATGTTTGGCGTCCTTTGTGTTAATGAATGTGCTGTTATAGCAGAGTATCAACAATGGCTTTCAGTGTGTATGTTGTGAAGTTCATTACAGGATCGCCCTATTCCTCTCTCTCTCCCTCTCTCTCCCTCTCTCTCCCTCTCTCCCCTCTCTTTGACATCTCTCACCTGCTTTCTTTCCCATCTCCCACCTCTCCCTTCCGTCCATGTTACACATTCTCTTTAACAAGACTGTACGGGAGCATCTATTCCAGGAGAAACTATCTCCAGAGTCCAGAGGCATTTCCTTCCCTACACTATGTGCTACAGGTATAGTGTCCACCATGTCATGGAGAACCTTATGGAATAGACCATTTCCTAGTGTGTAGTGTCCACCATGTAATAGACATTTCCTCTTGTGCTCCTCCGGTGCAAGTGGGAGATGAACTCTCCAAGTTTATTGGTGATTTGAATGACAATTATAGTATCCTCTTGCTATGAATCTCTGTCCATTACTGCCCTGGAATGCATAGCTGACATTGTTGTCTTGTCTAGTGGATTGGAATCCCACACACCTCTCACTCCCACTTCTCCCTTCTCCCTACATGTCTCTCTAACCTCTATTCATTGATACTAGGTATATATAATCTTATATTCAGTCTCATCTTCAGCAGCTATTTTTTATGCTTGGTATGTACGAATGTGTCTGTCTCTTTTCATCCCCCCACGCATCTTTTTTCCTCACTTCCTCTCTCAGCTTTTATCCTTCTTTATCCTGCATCTACCCCCTCTCCTCCCCTATTTATCTCTCTCACGTATCTCTGTGTGTGTCCGTCACTTCCTCTCCTCACTTCCTCTCCTCTCTTCTTCTCTCTCATTCGCTAGATACCGCAGCAGACTACTGCGACGACATGGGAGATCCTCTCCTTGCAGCTCTCATATCTCGAGCCAGAGCACTAGAGGACCAATTGAGGTATATATACCTACAAGCCGACATAGACACGGACTCAGTGCCTGCAGCTGGCAGCGTGCATACCAGCGTTGCCCACACCCACTATTCATGGGTGATAATCCCATTCATTGGTTAGTTTAACTCTCTTATGTATGCCCCCTACTCAGGAAGATACACAGTCGCTTGTCTGCCGGTGAGGAGGGCTAGGAGTGGGGGATCTGGCCTCACACACAATAAATCCCATTCACCATCCTCCCCCCTTTCCTCCCCCGTTGCTGCTCTGCTAGGTGGCACTGTTCTTCTTGACTCATCCAGTGTACCATTCTGTATGTCTCTACTGATAATATTATGATAATATGCCCACACCCTGGCTATCGCCACCCACTCACGTCATGGCTGGTTAAAACTGCTGTGGCTGCACTTTCCCCACCAGGCCGGTCATCTGGCGACATTACGAATTAACAGAGGTGGTGGCCAGCCGTAATTGCATTAGTTAGCCCTCCCATTCATGCCTCTAATAATTCCGCTAATGATTGTTTAGAAATGGGTCTTTCACGGCGTTATGGGCCACCTTTGAGCCGTACAGGTCCAGCACACTGGGCAACAGAGGGGAACACAAACTGATATATTCCCACACACTAAGTGGTGGAACAAGCTGCCCTATTTCTCGAGTGACTGAAGATCAAGGCGGGCTACGTGTCCGCTGCTTGTAGCCCCAAAGCTCAATAACAGCTGAGAATGTCTCCAGTGGTGGCTAATGACCCTATTGACACTCTGTGTTTCTCCATACAGAACAGTTTAATTCTCCACCGCATTGAGGCCAGCCAGCGTGTGTTTGCACTTTGCCTCCACCAGGCCTCCCAATGCTCACATGCAAAGTACCCCTGAAGTGGTAGTTGCTATTGTTCCTCCGTGTTGGACCACATTCAGGGAGAAAGTGTGAGCTCAGCGCGCGGACGGAAATGCAAACGCGAATTATTTCGTCGCGAGGGTCGCCGAAGCGTGCGCCCAGTATGATATTCATGACGCTATTGGCTGCTGCTCTGCGTACGTTTTGCACTTCGTTACGGATGTGTGGCATTGTTTAGACGCTGCTTGATCTAATTAGCGGTGATTAGCGTGCAAGTGGTGCAGCTATAAACCGCCCGCCCTGCCCGTCGAGCTCCAGTCGTGCCCCAGCCCGCAGCTAACAGTCGAGCTCCCGCTTAGCCTACAAAACGCCAGTGGCCCAGCTAGTAGCCTTCATAATGATGTCGGTGTACCCCTCCTGCATGCAGCGACCTGGTCTACCGGGAGTGGGTCTTCCTGCTCTCACCCTCCCTTGGAGCTTCCCTGCCCTCCCCACCTCTCAGCAGCAGCAGAACCCCCTCACCTTTCAGGTCCAGATTCCCTCCTTCGCACGGCCCGCTGCAGTGGCCGCGTCATCCCAGGCCCTGCAACCTAAGACCGAGCTAAAGACTTTTGTAGCTCCCGCGCAGCCTCCCAAGCCCAGAACCTCTCCAACGGGCAAATCCACGCCGACTTCCTTCACGATCGCCAGCATCCTCAGCAAGAGCAATGACAAGTCCTCGCCGACTGCCGCCGTCACTCCCGTCGTCGCTTCCCAGCCGATCAACGTGACGGGCCACGCCTCCACGGTGGCGGCCGTCTCTCCGTCCACTCCTCTCTCGGGCACCCCAAAGACCCCGCTCTACTACATCTACCACACCGCGGCGGCCGGACAACCCTCACCGTTCTCTTTCCCAGCCGCGGCCGCTGCAGCCGCTGCCGCCGCTGCTGCAGCTCACGCAGACCACCACGACCTGCAACGGAGCCCTCTGAGCCGACTGGCCGGAGCTCCTGCTCCGCTCACCCTCGGAGACTGCATGATCAGACGCTTCGGTGAGTCCCCCCCGCACACACATATGCCATGACTTTAGCTTGCTTGAATGCGAGCCCTGCCCGCAGATGCAATAATCATTGTCCTCTACCGAAGCATGAATTTACAACTCTCTCCCTTGTCTTGCTCCCACACAGACTCCCCCCTGGATTGCAGTCACCACCACCACCACCACCTCACCAACCTTAGCAGCCGACCTAAGAGAAAGCGAAAGCTCCGCACCGTCTTCACCGAGATGCAACTAGAGGGCCTCGAGACGAAATTTGCCGAAAAGAAATACTTGTCTGTGCCCGATCGGATGGAGCTGGCGTCGTCCCTCGATCTCAGCGAGACACAGGTCAAGACCTGGTTCCAGAACAGGAGAATGAAACGCAAGAAGCAGCTCACGATGGACCAGGGGGGCACTCCTGTATCTGGGGGAGAAAATTGCGACGTGACGGAAGATGAGGGGGTAGTTCCTCTAGCCAAGAAGCCACGCTCCTCAGAAGAGAGGGATAGTTCCCCATATTCTTCGGATGATGCGTCCATATCAGATACAGAGTAGCCAGTTGCAGTTTTTTTTTGTTTGTATTTTTACGTGTCTCTGCACCTTGAGTGTGTACTTGTCTCCATTTCCTACCTTGAGCAACACAGTGTCACTTAGCCCACCTCATCAGAGCATAGGTCTATTTTTGTACTTCGCCACACCTGCTGGACATGTGTTGCACTGTTATTATAAGAAACGGTACAGATATTTCTAAGTCATTTTTCTCTCAATAATCTTTACTGTCTGAATTTTTTCTTCACGGATAATTTTTGATCATTAACCGTGCATAATCGCTGGCTTCCGGCGCGCTCGCACGAGACCCGCGTAAGTAGAGCGCCCATTATCTCCGCATAGTGTAAACACTAGTAGTGGAGACGCCCTATTCACAGGACGCAGAGGCTGTTTTAGAGACAGGTGTGGCGGCCGTTGGATTGTGTGGAGTGTACACTGTCCTAGAACCTGTGTCAACAGCGCAGTGTTTTAGCGGATGGGCCACCAACTGCCTCTAATAGTGGCGTAGCCTTTGTAGTATAATCGTTTGCTATGTAACAGACCTGTGCGTGGGTGTGCGGACTACTGTGTGTTGCCACTCCCTGTCTCTGGATACCACCAGGTCTCACCATGCACAGGATGGGAACTTTGCCTGCTGTGTGCAAACTGCTTTCTGTTGTAGCTGCCCCAGCCTTTTCTATAAAAGTACTGTAATTGGTGACTGGACCTACTCTATGTATGTCTGACTGATAAATTTTTCTCTTAGTCTGAGGATATAGAATCTAGACCTTTGTGTATACACGGATACATGGTTATCGGTATTTACACTCTGTAAAGACATGCTCACACTCACTTGCCAAAATCTAGCTGCATTCATTTAGTCGGCTCCATTGGAAAATCGCCCCATGCAAGGTCCCCGGGTCATATATGTAGGTTTGATGCACCCAAGTCCATCCAGCATTACTGGATTACTGTCCTTTTTGAATTGGGGGGACTGTGTATAGTAGGGGTTTTGATCAGTATCCCAATTGATCAACTCTGGCACTGGGTGAGATCGGCTAATTGGTGCCAGAATTCTATGCAATTTGCAGTAATTGCCCTGCAGCATTGTAATCTAGGGGATTATGTTGCTGCAGCGTGACTTGTATCAGACAAGCAGTGGTTATTATTTCATGCCCTTTAATTGGGGTATTATTGTCAGTTTGTCCCACTGCTGCAACTGATTAATCTGTAAATGCATGCTAAGCTTACACTCCTCCAAAGAGGAATAATAATTTGGTATAATGTACAAATTGGTGTAACGTTTGCGGTGTATTGTGATGTAATTACATTGGGATTGTAATCAATTAGATGGGAAAGAATGGTGTGCTGCGCATGATTGGTGCTACATGGGGCATGCTAATCATTTTAGCTGGAAGGCTTACATCTTGTGTGACATGATGCGCGAGTTGAAGCACATAAATTCGTGTAACGTTGCATCACAGCAGGGCACGAAAGAAATATCGGTAGTTGCCCAGTCTATATAGGGCTCTCTAACTACGACACAACCAGTGCAAAACAGTGCATCTGCACATCAAACCATCTCCAAACAATGACATTCGCAGCAGCTGCTGTCAAGGCGTGCCTCAATTAGATTTGCTGCCGTGATCTACAGCAAGAGCTCCTTCAGCACCGCACATGGCAATGGAGGCACTCGCAAGGCCCGCAAATATGGCAAGGCATCTCTGTAATTCAGGAAGAGATCGTGCGATGCATGCCTGGAATTACACATTAATCCAGATAGTAGGTGCAGGCTGGGTCTTCAATTCCTCACCAGTCAGAGTGTCCTGCACTTGGAAGCCCCCAACCGGCCAAAATGAGCCACCAGAGACATTCAATCAGCCTGGGCAATTAATGCCTGGCTTTGTTTGGGCAAGGCTAAGCATGCCTGGAGGCCTTTGTTTACACAGAGCTAGGGTTTCCACTCTGCAGACACACACCACAGAGGGTGGAGGGCAGGTAAGCCCTTTGTAAGCCACATCCTTTTCCTCTCTGGCTTCTCCTTGCCCTCAGTGCACCAACCATCAGTTGACATAGGCTAAATGAGACCTGATTAAGCACAGCAGTTTATCTGGGTCCCTCTGTTCCCCAGGCCAAGTCTGCATTATCATATAGCCCCAGGCCCACTGACCCTAAGAGGAGCTGAGAGATTGAAACCAGAATAAGCCACAGTGTGTGTGTACTTCTTCCCCTATTGTCTCCCCACCCAACAGCGAGACTCCTAGCTTGTGGAGGTTAGCTGAAGCCTATAGCCTTTCACCATTTCCCACCATACTACCCTACTTTGCCCAATTTTCAAAGGGCTCACAAACATCCTGTACTGTGAGGTATTGGGCTCTCACACACACCCTCAGTGGCCACGTCTTTCTGACTCCATCTCAGACAAAACGTGTAGTCTGCTCATAACTTAATGACCAACAGAATTTCTGCAAAAGTTTCCCAATACAGACATTCCAGACAGAGCACCTGACTGCTTTGATCTCTCCCGTTACACCAACTACAGGCCTCACCCTCCAGCCAACAGCACCCACCAACAATACCAAAGTGTCCACAGTATCAACAACACATGCCACAATTAAACATAACAATGCAATTGTCTCTGTTGAATAGCAAATATTGAAGGTTATTTTGTGTTAGTATCCCACGCTATAAGGCCTGGCATCAAAGGCATCCAAAAGCGGCAAAGGTAAGCAACTGTGCATAATGTGCTTGTAAACCCACCAAAATTGTGTGTGCACCATTCCAGATGTCAGCATTCAGGGAACGAAAATTTCATAAACACCAAGTTTTCCCATGCCTGCAGTCCAATGTACGCACCAGGCTGCCAAGGCAGTGTCTGTGCATATTCTTGTGTGTGTGTGTGTGCGCTGGTCCACAGCCCATCAACTCATTAGTCGTGGATTGTCCGTCTCGCGGCCTAAAGGAGTAGCAGCAGGGTCAAAGTGGCAGCCAAGATTCCATGCCATTGAGTGGATTTATCAGATCTGTGGCGGTCAAACCCTGCCACCCCAGGCATCCTCCCCCTCCCCGCTATGACATTAGCTCACAATGCTCTCCGCGGCTCCCACAACACTCCTTTTACGGCCCTGCCCTCCACCCTCACCCACTTGTGGTGATTGTTATACTAATGGGCGATTTACCACTTGGCCCGTGTCGGAACTCGGCTACCACTTGGCACGAGATGGTAGTGTTATCGTGAAGTGGCCTACTTTACTGTTTGGCACCGCGCCTGAGTTACATGTACCATCACCTGCTGCGTGCTTGTTCATCACACTCTTTTAATTAATGCACGTGTACTTGTAGCACTTTTGACTGACGGGCAAAATGATAATAAAATTGTCAGTGATAGTTTGTATCCAGTAAGGGTTATCATAATTATTATGGTGTCTTGCAGATAAGCGTTTGTTTGCTACTATATAAAGTATGGAGAAAAGACAATGACAGAGGTGGTTGTTCCAGTCAGCACATTATCTTGAAGTCGACTACAGGTCTGCACCGATGAGTGTTCTGTGGTCGTTTAAAGCCTTTCAACTCAGTCCATTATACGGCCACTGCGGCTACAAGCATTAAGTGGTTCTCACAGATCAACAAATGCATCAAAGGCCCCATTACAACGTAAGTAGCCATAATTCCAGAGTTTGTTTAGTTAAATTAGCCGGACATGACTTATAAATTACCACGTCCACTAACTTCCACCACACTCAGTGTATTATTTGAAGTGCATCTGACAACCTAATTCTCGAAGTATGGAACTAGCCGAGCGCATGTTTGTGGCTGGCTGCAAACCGCAGTCGAATTGGACACAAAGATATTCCCACCAGGGACACCATGCCATGACAGAAACAGATTTATCGCTCACTTGACACAAACACAAATTCGCACTTTCCCATATCACAGCAAAAACAAGGGGAGAGTTTAAATTATCACGAGTCTGTTTGTAAATTGGGAGTCTGAATGAATGGGAGCCTATGGAGTTTTAGAGCGTCAGACAATCTCGTAGCGGTCGGCGGTGAACAGAACCTCAGTGGAGAACTTTACGGGGTCTCCACCTTCCACCTGCTTCACTCCAACCACCTGCAGTAGAGAGATAGGGGGTGTATTTCGTGGATTTTGTTTCGTTGTGCACGCACCAGTGCCGACTCACAAATGGCTGTTCAGTTTAATTTCTGCTCCATCTCTCTCCCTCCCAGTACAGCATACATAGAGTAATACGATATGGTTTTGCCTCTCGGCAAATTAATATTCCCAAAGTGTGCCTGGTTTAATTGACAGCCAAAATGGGCAAATGTTTTAAGTGTCAGACATGTTTTCGTGTACTCTGTGCTGACCACAACACCTGAATATGTGTAGGGACGGAGAGGGTTTTTGGTTGGTACATGATCCACCAGCCAAAGCTCAAATTTGTGCAGCCATGCGCTCAGCACTTGGTTGTGGTAATGAAGTTATACAAACCCAAATTGTGCAGCTGTATAGACACGTTCAATTGAGTAACGAAGTGAAGCTGTTCAAACGAGTGATATAGTGAAGAAGTCCAACTCTACACGTTGTCCAGGAGACCGACAACATCTCTCAATTGACAAGAATCCCTTCTCTAGCCCCAGTTTCCTGTAAAAGCTCTGTTGAGAGTAACAGAACACTGGCTGGGAGGGCTAGGGTGCAGCGAGATGAAAAGACCCCCCAGACCCACTCTCTTCCCATGTCCCACGACAAAATGACTATAATGTCGGCGTACTCTGATTATTGTGGCCAGCATTACTCCCCCACTCTTCTCAACAGCTCTAATGACGTCTGGAATAGTAGGAACTCAGCCCCCATGGCTTCCATACGTTAATCGCCACATCTGGATGAGTAATGACCTAGTGGAGTAGCCACCTCAACAAAGAACCATACACAGGGGAGCTGTAAGGTTGCTAAGCGGCAGCAGGAGCAGGTCTAGGGGGCCCTCTGTGTGGGGTGTCTGGTTTCGAGGACAGCAGTTTGACTTGGATGGGAACAATGGGCTAATGCCTCCAGGGACATTGGGCGACTTTGAAGTCTGAGATTCAGCTATATTCCAGTCTCTCTGGGTGGAGTGGGGCTGAAAGAGAGTGGCAGAGGCCTGCCAGGAATGCCGGTGGGGGTCCCTGCTAATGACATTCACGAGTGCCTACTCCAAAGGTCCTTTTATCGTAATTACTCTGTTACAGGATACTTAGAGGACAATCTGTGTTATTGGAAGGCCGGGCTACAGCCACCTACTGGAGGC